GGCTTACTGCCATAGCAGTGGGAGATAAGCAGAGGAGGAGGAAATTAATGACTTTAAGGGAAAACAGGGCTGCCTGGTCTAGTGGGCTCCAATGTAGGCTGATTTGAGTGAACAGCAGCTGTTGGCATGGGCAGTTCTGGAGTCCTGGATCTCATGTGCACAGCTTGATATTAGCATGTCCTCCTTGTGTAGTAACTTGTCTGTGTCCTGTCTTGCAGGTGATGACTGCAGTGAGCACTGTAACCTGGCGCATGGGTGCTGTGACCAGGATGGCAAGTGCAGGTATGATGTTTGGGTCTCCAGCTGAACTGCAGTCATGGCCAGGACAGCTGATCTCTCAGTACCTCTGACTAATTCCCCATAACCTCCAAATCTCTCTTTAAGCTGAAGAGTGCTGATGGTCTCATCGCACTCCGCTCACCCAGGTTCCCAGGGTCAGATGCTCCCCCATATTGAGTAGACACCTTCCCAGTGGGAAAGTTTGGTTCCTGTGCCCTTCTGTTCTACAGACCTTGCCTTTAGATCACATCTGAAATCAACCAACTGGCACAGTTCTGCAATAGCCAAGTGGGCCCATGGAAGAGAGATCTTTAGTGCTCAGGTACAATGGGGATGCATGTCCTAGAAGGACCTCAGATAGACCATGCGGCAGCTCCCCAGACAGCATTGAATGCCTAGAAAGCAGTAAGCTCCTTTAGATTGCAAACTCTTTGTAACTGGCTCTTCATGTTAGTGATAGGAACCAGGTGCTGCCCAAATACTAATATCTACAGGATAGCTCATTTCTGTAGACAGTGAAGCAATTTGGTTTCTGGGGGTGTTTTAGGGTGGTGAGGCCAAATTAGAGATGCTGTGCTTTTCCGTATGGTGGCCATATTGCTGGTTACTACTTTCATTCTGGATTGTTGGCTACAACTTTCAGTCTGGAGTCTTCAGCTTCTTCTTTGAAGCCTTCAGTAGCCTGGCAGCTCCTTCTCAAAATCATTGAGGCCTGCAGAGCCTTTTCACCTAGCCTGTGCTGCTTCAGGACTTTCACTGTCTTGCTGTATCATTTTCTGCTTCAGAGAAGAGAAGTTCAGAGCTGCCATCTTTCTGGAGTCTTGAGATTGTGGGGGTGGCATTGCCTTTGTGAGCTTTAATTTAGTGATAGTTTTGAGTCCTGATTCTTACATCTCTACCTCTCTGTCACCTCAGCTCAGCTCAGTTCTGCTTCTACCTGAGTGCTCTTAAGACTTCCTCTTTCCCCCCTGGGAAGGCAGGGACTGTCCAGCCCAGAAACAGCTTTGCATTTCATATAATCACCAGCCACTGTTCCATTAGGGCCAACATCCTGCTGCGTGCTCCAGTGACTGCTTTCCCATAACTCTTATGGTTGCCTTGTAACTATGGTGATTCCTTAAATGGACCACCTCTGGAACGCTGTATGTGGCTTCACATCTGGATTGTTGTGCATACTCCAGTTTTCTCAATTAAAGAAGAATAGAGACACACTTTAGTAGTACAAAGAGAGGTATTTGCTCCCTGCCTCTTCATCTGGCTGCCTGGCTGAAAGGGTGCAGGAATTTTCTGGTTGTCTAAACTCAGGGGAAAAGAAACGCACAGACTAGCATTTAAAATCAAGGCTGTCGAGCCACAACTCTTGGGTTTTGGCTTGAGCTGTATCTCAGCATCCCTCTTGATCCTCCAGTTCCCTCTCTCTGCTTCCTGTCCTCCATCTGAGAGGATTAAGGAGTAAAATGTTGGGAAGGGGCTTTGATGCAGCTTCCCCAGTAGTGGGTTTTATGAGAGAGTGCTAATCTGGGAGCGGCACTTGATGGATACTCCCAACAAGGCACTGGGACCATAGGGTAGACAGCATCTAGCCCCTCAGCTTCCTCCCTTGGCTTAGGTGGTTTCCCAGGAGAAGTATGTTTTTGCATCTGTGGGATTCTCTGAGAGGATTTCTCCAGCCCCCTGCACTTTCCCATGCTAGGATACTGGCATGAAGGCAGCATTCTGTAAATGGTTATGTAATCTCATTCTGCTCTGCTGTGCTGTTGCTGGGAAGGCTGACTAACCTTCCTGTGCCCTCCTTCAGGTGTGACCCAGGCTGGGAGGGTGAATACTGTGAGAAGTGTGTGCGGATGCCAGGCTGCCTCCATGGGACGTGCCACCAGCCTTGGCAGTGCATCTGTCACAATGGCTGGGCAGGCAAATTCTGTGACAAAGGTATGTCCCACCAGCTGGATCAGGGATGGGCTTGAGGTTCAGCCTAGGGGGCTGTGAGGACCAGCTTGTTGTGTGGAAGCAGCTCCAGGTGGAGAGAGGCTGAGGTGCTGCCCAACTGCCCTGTGACACTGGGTAGGGGAATGTGGAGGGCACAGGGGCTGGAGGGGCCAGGTTTCCATCCAGGTGCCCGAGATTTATCTCCACAAGATGGTAGTTTTCACCCTTTCGCAGTTAGGGCTCCATGCCCTAAATGGAAGGGTGGTGCTGTGTCTGCTAGCAGCGGTTTTGTGGCCACCTGTTTCTCATTGTGATGCTTGTGCCAGCTCCCTGGGGGATGAGGTGTCATCTTTCTGTCACAGCTTCAGCCCACTCCTTCCCTTTATGTGGCAGAAGGTCAGGCTGCTGGGATCTGATCCCAGTCGGCAAAGCTGGGGATGCTAGAAGACCAGCTGACCTGCGGAAGGGCGACGGGCGATATTTGCTGCCTTTCCCACACTACAACGAGCAGTCTGCTGAACCTTCTGCTTCCCCCAGCACTTCCTGCCTTCGGCAGCCAGTGGGGTGGGATCCCCTTGTGTGCTTCCAAATGGAAGCAAGTGTCCAGGATGGAGCGGAAGCAGTTTCCCTGCAGAGCTGATCTAGGCTAAGCAGGGTCTCCAGCATGCTGTGTGTCATTATATGTCAGCCTTTCTGCAACGCTCAGAGCAGCTAAGGACCTTCCCTTCTCTGCAACTCTGCATCCCTGCCAGGGGGCTAACATGAAAGTACTGTGAGAACTGCAGCAGAGGCAAGCTGCATGCGTGCTAGCCAAAGCACTGTTGTTATTTGGGTGGAAGCAGCTGCTGCTGTTGCTCTAGCTCTTCTTTGACAGGGCAGGTTGGAGAATTTGCATTGGGTTCATCTCCTCTCACCAACTGCCTCCTCTTTTTCTTCCCTCAGATATACACATCTGTGAGCACCAGCCTCCTTGCAAAAATGGGGCCCAGTGCATCTACGACCGAGATGGGGAGTACTCCTGCCTGTGCCCCGAGGGCTTCCATGGAAAGAACTGTGAGATGAAGATAGGGCCATGTGAGAAGGCAGGGTGAGATACAGCAGCAGAGATGGGGCAGAGCAGGCAGGGAGAATATATAGAGCATTAGCTCTGGATCCTACTCTACCATCAGTGGTGCAGCGTGAAGTTAAGCTCGAACCATCCTGAGCTTTGGTCCTGTGTTAGGTAGAGTCTGGGCTCTTGTTCAGAGCTGATTCCTGTCCCTGGGTACAGGGGATGCATCCATTATGTGCTCATGGAGACCTGTTGGGAGCCACCCTTTCCTGTTTTAAGGGTTGGTCTGTTCATTATGGAAAATGTGGCTGTACCTCAGCTACTCTGAACACTGATGTTACTGGGAGGAGCAAGTGTGTCCTAGGCATACCCATGTCCATGTTTAGGGAATCTTTGGTGGTGGGGGCAGACTTTTCTCTCTTTCAAGTAGGAAGGACCCAAACACCTGCCCTTTTTTCTCCCCTGATCACTGAAGATGAACTTACCCCTACTTCCTGCCCCCCACCAGTGCAAAGCCTGAGAACTCTTAAGGCTAGAGGGGTATTTTATACTGGATGCATGCCCCTCTGGGGCTTAGGCTGTGTTCAGCCCCAGTCCATGACCTTTCCTTGCTTTCCCCCTGCAGGTTTCCATGCAGGAATGGTGGCCAGTGCCAGGATGAAAATGGCTTTGCTAGTAACTTCACCTGCAAGTGCCTGGCTGGCTTTGTTGGTGCCCTCTGCGAGAACAACATAGATGACTGCCTGATGCGCCCCTGTGCCAACGGTGCCACCTGCCACGATGGTATTAACCGCTTCTCTTGCCAGTGCCCAGCAGGCTTTGAAGGGCGTTTCTGCACCGTTAACATTGATGACTGTGCCAGCCAGCCATGCAAGAATGGAGCAAAGTGCTATGACCGCTTCAATGATTTTGACTGCTTGTGTCCAGATGGTTTCACTGGTAAAACTTGTGAGGTCGCCACTCCAGAACCAACCTGGATCACCTTCTACCATCCAGCTGACAGGGAGGACAACGATCCCAGGAGAAGCACAACCAGTGAGTACCCCTGGGTTACTCAGCCTGAGCCTGTCAGAACTGTGGTTACTGGGAGGCGGAGCACCAATCACAGCGAAAAAGCCAGTGAAAGTGGGTTGTTGAAAATCTCTGTCAAAGAGGTGGTGACCCAACGGGACTCAGGGCTGAGTGAGGCCCAGCTGGTAACAGTGCTGGTGTTTGGGGTGCTCACTGCTGTGCTGGTCCTTGTCACTGTATTGTTAATTCTGAGGAACTGGCAGAGAGGGCGCCGGAGATCCAACTGGTGCCAAAGCCCCTCACAGTCTGCAAGGAAGCTACAGGAGCAAGAGTGTCAAGTGGGCATGTTAAATGCAGTCCTGATAGAGCCCAGGAAGACTACAGAGCTGTGAGGACTCTGGCATTCTCAGAGTTGGGCTCTGGCAGGTCGCCATGCCAACAAACCCTTCGAACCATGCCCTGGGAGCCATTCTGGTTGAATATTTCCAAAGCACTAAAGGTCTCTGGTGCAAACTGATCTGTGATTCAGTAGGGAAGCATTCCTATGGACAGCAAATCCTTATCTGAAACCACAGCTCTTCAACCTGGTATGATGTCCTGGCTGCATCTATTCTTATTTTCATCATCTAGGCACCTTGAGCATCCATGGGAGTCAAAAGGGTTGCACCAGAAAAGCCCACCATGGGAAGCAGCAGCATGCTGATTTTGGCAGCTAGCACCAAGGGACACTGGTATCATCTTCTTTGCACTGAACCAAGCTCCTGGGACTCAGGTTGGCAGTGCCAGATCAGGGGCAGGCACAGCTTTCTGCACCGGGTGATCCCTTGCCACAGCCCTTCCTGCGGCCTCTGGACCTGGACCACAGCCCCTGCTAGGGCCTCTGGACCTGTTACTTCTCCATGTGCTCTGCTCTGCAGTCCCCTGGGGCTCCCAGCTCTTTCTGGAGGTCATAGTTTGTCCATGTCAGCTTCCACCTCTCTTGGAAGCAAACCAGCTATCTGCCTCTGTGGCCTTGGGGGGAGCCAGTTTGGAGGAACTCTGGGGACCGTTCAATACTCCATTGTGCCCTTTCTTGACTCAATACAATGTCCCTCCCTCTTGCTATTGGCCTAGGGGTTGCAAGCATGTTTTGTACCTCCCCCTCCCATGATCCGTGTGACTTTCCCCCCCCTTTATCAACCCATCCCATCTAGTTTGGATGGCAATTCATGAAGCTCCCTCCCTGCCTCAGCATGTGCTTCCACCTCACTGCCCGCTGATGGGAAGGGACAGAGCCAGACATACTGCAAACACAAAGCCAGCTCCCTCCAGGGTTGATGAGGACCAGGTTTGCCCTCCCCACAGGTGCCTTCAGGTGGAACTGGATGTGGAGAAGGCTGGAAGGGAGCTGTGGCTGGTTTGGTGGTGAGCCTGGTTCCAGTTCATCACTTCCCCCTCTCAGAGCATGATACCAGGAGTAACCTATAACCAGGCATGGGAACACTTGAAGACTAGGCCCTCCACATGGGATGCAAAGGAGGTTAGAGATTAAATCCACAGCCTGGGATAGCCTTGGGGAACAAAGAGGTGGCACTGACTTCAAAGCTGCCGTGACTGCACCTTTCAGTTTGAAGCCCGTCAAAGGCATCTAAGAGAGTGGGACACAGGTTGTAGCCATATTGGTTTACAGGAAAAAGGAATCAGCACTCATGGCAGAGGTGATATCTTTTATTAGACCAATTAGATATTTGCAAAACAATTCTTTATTTGCAAGCTTTGGGGCATGCACACCTTTCCTCAGTCTTAGGAAAATGCAAAGATTGTAAAATTTCCTCTGGGTGGAAATGAAAATTCATATGAATAAATAAAGATTTTTTTTCTGCAAATATCTAGATGGTCTAATAAAAGATATCATCTCTGCTACAGGTTCTGATTCTAAGAGAGTGGAGCATGTAACTAGGGCATTTCTTGCCTAGTTTGATCCACTCAGCCTGAACTGCTCCAGTTAGAGAACTGAAACGCTCCACAGGGGGACAAGGCTCCAAGGTGTGTGTTGAGGGCAGAGGGAGGAAGAGTTAGAGCCAAGCCTCACACAGGGTGGAGGGAGTCTCCCATGCTGTATTCAGAGGGATGCAGAAACCATGTCACTTCCAGGGCCGAGAAACCAGATAGCAGGCAGGAGTGAGGTTTCCAGGTGAAGGAAGAAGCAGAGCAGGCAAATAGACTGTGGGGAGAGGGGACAGGGGCTTCACCAGAAAGATTATTTTTTTAATACAAGGATGGATGATGTAACTTTATCAAATAAAACAAATGAAACACCAGAGCCAGTGTCCCCTGCCCTCAGAGTGCCAAGCATCAGCTACTTGGCAGACCCCTTCCATAGTGGAGCTGTTTTCCTGTCTCCCCTAGTCCATTCTCCCCCCAAATCTTTGCCAGAGGAGCTCTCCTATAACTCCTCTCATCCCTGCCCCCAGCAGCATGCTTCAAAGGTGGCCTTCGGGCTTGTGGCTGTGCTTAAGAGCTGTTTAGTGCCAACATGCATGAGAGAGAGGCCACCTGATGTCAAGAGGCCGGGCTACAACTTGAGCCTGTGGTCAGTGCACAGGCAGGGCTGGGGCAGCTGGATCCTGCAGTCTCAAGGGAGGGAAAGGAGTCTCTGTGTCTCAAGACAGCTGCTGGTGCTTTGGGACTTCCTCAGAGTGCTGGGGAAAAAGGGAAGGGCCTTGTTGGGGCAGGTGGGGAATGCAAAGCTAACTCCTGTGGCCTGACTGCCTGCAGCAGGAGAGGAACTGGAGAAAGGAGAGGGCAATTGAAAGCCACAGGAGCAGCATTAGCTGCCAGTAAGCGGGATGATGGGAGGAGTGGACTGCTCACTGCAGGTTGGTCCAACTGTGCAGGAGACTTGGTTTTGAAGCTAAGCTTTACTCCTGGAGCTGGGTGCAAATTGCTGCTCCCCAGGCTGGCAGGTTCCACACCCCCATGAGAGAAATCCAGGCATGGCTGGGGTCCAGGCAATGCTGAGGAGTATCAGACCAGGAAGCTGTGATAGTGTCTTGTGCAGCTTGCGGGGTGCAGGGGAAAGGATGATCTACCCTGGACAGGGGCTGCCTGGACAGGCTTCTGGAGGCCCTTACATAATTGCAAGGTGTGATGTTCCCCTGCGGCCACACAGTATCTCATATTCCCCCCCTAACCCCCTACTGTTTTGTCTATTAGGGTTGTGCTGAATACATGTGGTGAAGGAGGGTGGAGAATGACTTCAGGCCCAAGGCCTTATGCTATAAGGGAGCTGAAGAGATGGAGGAACCAGGGCTCCCAGCTGCTGCCCTGGGCTGGTTTGAAGAGGCAGGTGAGGACACAGCAGCTTAAAAGCACAAGGAAGTAGGGGGAGCCTGTCCCCCCAGAGCTGAGAGGCGCTGCAGGGACAGAAGTGAAGACCTGGGCTGCAGGAGAGACTGTGACAAAATTATGTTTACATTTTAAAATCACTTTATTTGAGTCCTTGGCAGGAGTCAGACACACCAGACAGCTCTGCAGACACCATCACCACTTCAAAGAGGGGGAACCCTCGGGCCAGGAGCATGGCTCCTCCCCCTGTGGCTCCTAACCCAGCAAGTCCTTGCCCAACTCCATCAGGAACTAGGAGACAGTTCCCTGCCTTCCTGGCCTGAAACAAGCTCCACTGTGAGCAGGCCCCATCCTTTCCAGTTCTTGATGAAACAGCAGCATCCCACAGAAGCTCTTGGGCCTGTAGGATGTGGACGGCTGCTCCCATCAGCATGCCGGGCTAGGGAAGCATGCTAGCCATGGTGCTGGTATGCAAAGGGACAAGAGTGCATCTAGGAGGGGTGGTTCCCGGTCTCAGACTCTGTGGGGAAATCACTGCTGCCCACTGTGTAGAAGTCGCTGGAATAAGGAGTCCTCCCTCTTGCTGAGGACAGCAGGTGAATCCAGCTCTGCCACCTTCCCAGCATGCATCACCAGAACACGGTCTGAGTCCAAGATGGTGTTCAGCCTGGCAAGAGCAAATGCAATGGGGGACTGGGGTAGTCTGAGGATTGGGAGAAGCACCAAATACTGCTCTCCCATGGAGCACCTATTTCTATGGAGCCCTTTGGCACACCTCCTGGGTCACTTGGCAGACTAAGCAGAGACTGCTCAGTCATCATCACTGAAACACAGTTGTTTCTGGGGAAGAACAACATGTTGCTGAAGTAACACTATGCAATGGGATAGGAAAGAAAAAGGAAAGCAATGTTTCTAGTAGGGGAGGGAAAAGGGACTATAAGTCATGATACCTGGGTTTGCTTCCTGGCTCTGCCACCAGCTGGCTTCCTGAATTTGATTGAGTTATTTTGGTTTATCCTGGATGTCCCCTTTTTAAATGGGGAGATTAAGCTCAGCCCACCTCCCACAGGGGATGGGAGACTGAATCCATCCACTTCTATTGTTTTTGGTAGCATGAAATCACAGCACAGGACTAAGGCCAGAAGACCAGCTCATGCCCCAGCTCTTGCAGAAGGCACTGGAGGATCTCCACATGGGTACAAGTATTGGGGCCTTGGTTTCACAGTGACCTGCAGGATGGGGTGCAAGAGGCAGTATGGATGTGCTAATAAGAATGTCCAAGTCTGACTGACATGGATTCCTCTACTTTGATGGGACCTGTAACGGCTTAGTCTAGCCTGACACTGCTAAGTGTGGGTGAGTGATGGGTCCATATTGGGAGGTAGCCTCCTGCTCACCACTCCCATTCTCACAGTTAATTTTATCCTAAAGGTGATGGCGTTGGAGCTGCTGCTGACATGGGTGGCCATGTTCTTTTGGGAACCTGTCCGCCCTGGGCTTTGTGACTCTGGCCTCTCTTGGTCTCCTCCTACCTCTGACTGCTACCTCAGAGGATCCTCTTCCCTTAGCTTTCTAGGAAGGTTTTATGGGTCTCTCCTCAGTCCCCTTCTGCACCTTAACATATCTGCAGGCATGAAGTCAACTACCTTTGCTGCAAGGACAGCTCATGGCTCTTCCTCTGCTTCAAACTCTTCCTTCTCCCCCAGCTAAGATCCTAGCCTGCCTGACAGCTCCTTGCTGAAATCCAAGCTCAACATGGCTAAAAGCCAACTCTAAATTCCCTCCCCACAAGTGGTTCCCACTACCCTTTCTCCATCACAGTGGCCTACGCTGCCATCCTGCTATCATTCAGGCTTGTTACTGTCTTGGTCTTAGACCTTTCTCTCTCCTCGCATCCAGGCAATGCCTAAAACTTGCAGATTTTTTTCCATGTAACACCTCTGAGATGCGGCCTTTCCTTTCCCTCCACACAGCTAATTCTTTGTCATCTCACCTTGCAATTACTGCAATCTTCTTATTTGGGGCCTTGACAAGTGCAACCCTGTCCTGCTGCATCTGCCCACAATGCTGCTGCCAGGATCCTTTCCCAAAGCTGAGGCAAAACCTTACCCTCCTTTTGCTCCCACCTCATGCCCATTGCACCATACAGAAGCTGCTTGTCTTCAGTTTCTAAGCTGTTCAGAGCCTCCCCTCACCTCATCCTTTCACTCACCATGGAGAGGTCGACTTCCACCTCCCGCAGTGCCAGCCTCTATCACCTCTTTGACTGATACCAAACAAGCATCTTTGTTTGTGCTTTCCCTCAGGCTGTCCTTCACATTGGAAGCAGACCCTAAACAGGTGAAATGTCCTCTTCCAAAACCCTCCTCAAAGCTCTCCTGTGTTATGATGTCACTG